TTCGCTCATCTATTTGTATGTTATATAATATAAACATGGAAATACTTAAGATGCCTAAACAGCTATACACCGATAGTTTCAGTTGTATATTTTACCTATACCTACTGACACTTCTCGTTTCGCTCATCTATTTGTATGTTATATAATATAAACATGGAAATACTTAAGATGCCTAAACAGATATACACCGATAGTTTCAGTTGTATATTTTATATACTACTGACATCTGTTTGCTCATCTATTTGTATGTTATATAATATAAACATGGAAATACTTAAGATGCCTAAACAGCTATACACCGATAGTTTCAGTTGTATATTTTACATACTACTGATATCTGTTTGCTCATCTATTTGTATGTTATATAATATAAACATGGAAGTACTTAAGATGCCTAAACAGCTATACACCGATAGTTTCAGTTGTATATTAGTAAAAATAATAAAAAATTGTCATGTTTGTTATCACTTGTACAGAATGTTTTATATATTAAAATATTTAATTTGTTTCTTCATTTTCTCCCCAGTGTTTCAGCTGTGTACCTTTTATCAAGATTCTAAGTATTTTGTTTGCCCGATTTTTAGATATTGATAACATTGTACAACAATGTAAAGTTTTGTTATTAATATAATTTATTTAGTGGATTTAGGCCAATCATTGCTTATGTGTGGGTATTCATCTTTGATAACTTGCATAGTTTTCCTTGGTCAGAGATACTGGGAAAATTGTTGAATTTTATATTTTGCACTTCTGGCCCAGGGAACTTTATTTTACATACAAAAAGCGGTAAAATTTGAGGAATTTTATGAGGTGCAATGATGCTTCTAGGACACATTTTAAGCCAACGGGAAAGCCTGATTTTTTTTCTTCTATATTTAAAAATTTTACTTTGCAAAATGCTATATTTTAATCTTTAAGTTATACAAAAAGCTAATTTTTTTCTTTGATAGATTATTTAGACAGAGTATTGATTAAACCTATTTGAATGGATGGCAACTGCCTGTTGTAGAAACACAAGTGTAGAGGATGACGTTTCGAAAGTCTTCTGCCTTTCATCTTCAGGCCAGCATGTGTATAGTGCAGTCAGTTTTTATAGTATTACGGTGGAATGTGGAGAGCGTTTCTTGATAAACCAACCAATCACAAACATGAATAGCAGAAGACTTTCAAAAAGTCGTCCTCTGCACTTGTGTTTCTACAACAGGCAGTTGCTATCCAATCAAATAAGTTTCAGCTAATTTTATGTTATGACAGTCAGAATCAGTGAAATATATTTTGATGTACAGATTTCAAAATTAAAAATTTCTGCTTTTTCAGACCTCAAATAAAACATACTACAACACATGAAATTGGGAAAACTGTATTACCCATTACTGGTTCAATGAAACGGCATGTGGCTGGTAAACATAAACAAATGGTAAGTATCATTTTTCTCAATCCAGAAAGTCGTGGTGAATCTGAATGCTTCACTATTCTTAATATTTGTTTATAATTGCCAGTCTTCTTTAACCCTTGGCTGTCGGCTTCTAATTTTTTTAGAAGTTAATATTGCTCTAGTTATATTTTGTTCCAAAAAATAAAACTAGTGGATGAAATTGTCTAAAATTTGACAAGAAAGTCCTAAAAGTATGTTGTTTCAGAAAAATAAAATATTTAATATTTATTTTTATACCATTTCTAATAAAATAATTTTTATTTAATGTGATTATTTGCATTTGCATAATTCACCTGCAAGGTGATTTTTATATCAAGTTTAAAAATACTATTTATTATCTTACAGTTTCACATTTTATTTGCTTATTCTCTAGAAACTCCTAAATGAATATCAAAAACTTTTGAGGTAAATATTTATATTTTATATTCCATTTTCTCTACTATATTTCCAACTCTACCTATTATCATCAACATACAATGCAATGAAATGTTTAAAATTAAGAAATGGAAATATGTACATACCTTTTAGATCTTCGTAGAAGACTTTTGAAACTTGTTTTTTTAATATGCTTAATTTCACATCTTTATTTTTTCACTTATAATTTATTTTTAAATTTCCTTTCCAATTCTTTGTCTTTTATAATTTATGCCGATACATCAAATGGTGCCTGCAGGGCTTTATTATTATTATCCAGGCAACAACAAGTTAAACGTATAAAAATCATTAAACCTCTCAAATATGATTTTTAAAACATAAATAATAGATAATTAACTAAAATATATAAGTAAGACCTAAATACAATTTAACTGTCTATCTAACTACACCATATTTAGGTAAGAAAACACCATAAGTGCTATGGTTGATCAAACAGACAACAATACTAATGACAGTTACATCTACTTCAATACAAATACTGCATGCCAATTTCAAATAACCATTGGTGGAGTATAGTGTAAACTGAATTTTTTTTAATGAATATATACACTTGTGTCAACTGACTACATGTATGTTATAGATATCAAGGCAACATATAGAAGGTAGATGTGGCACCTGACAATGGTTGGAAAATTTATAGCTGTTTCCCAGACAAAGTAGCTACAGACTTTGGATATGACATGTCAAATGGGTTAAATACACGTGCTTGGCATCTATGTACTCAAGTACATTGTGAGCTTATGTGGCTAAGAGTGAACTGCTGCTAAAATCAGGATTTCCACAGTGCATGGATCACATGACACGAAAACTGCAGTTTAAGTATTTTTTGAAAGGTTTCCTTTGAAACAAAGTAATTAAAACGTATATGACATATAATGATAGTAAAGTGGTTTAATTAAATTTTGCATGTACAGTTCATACGCAGAAAGGAATTTAAAAATGGTGCTGGAAGCTATAGAGTTTAAATATACAGATACCTTGGTCTTCATTTTTCAGAAACCTCAAATTAGAAGACACCAGTTTTTGTTAACTCCCACAGAGTTATAGAATTTTTAATACCCCACAAAAAGCAGTTTAAGTAACTGTGCTTTTCTTTGTTACTGGAAACCTTGTACACACAGATTGTCATAATTTTCTAAAACATTATTTCACACACACACACAAAAATTGTTTAAGCCTTTTGATAAACCAATGGAGTAGTTTTATTTATATTGCTTACTCTTCATAATTAACAACTTAAGTTTATTGTTATCACAGTCTTTATTTTTGAAGACCATTGCATGTATATATATATATATATATATATATACA